AAATGACCAGTCTCCGGAAGAACAAACGAGGGTATAAAATTTACTACATTGGCCAGGTGGTGGTGGCGCACGCCTTTAAACCCAGCCCTTGGGAGACAGAGGCAGGCAGATCTCTGTGAGTTCAAGGCCATCCTGGTATACAGAGTGAGTTCCAGGACAGCCAAGGCCACACAGAGAAATCCTGTCCCAAGACAAACAAACAAACAAACAAAAAATTACTACTTAAGACAGTGGGCTGCCCATCTCCTATCTAATCAATTTAATCCTACACATGTGACCCAGAAGAATTTATCTGACGTGTTTCTGTATGTGGTTCTTTTTGTTTGTTTGTTTTTGTTTTTTTTTAAGTTATGGCTCAGCAAATACATTTACCCCCCACATCTTGGACTCCTCGTTCCAAGTTCCTAGCATAACAGCATAGAGATAAGGACAGGGTCTCAGCCAGCAAGTTGAGAGAACTCTGCTTGGATTTGAAGCAGCCGTTCCTCGGGAGGATGCAGCTTTGAGCATCTTAATGAAAGGGATGAGAGGGCACTGCCTTTCTGCCTCCATCCATGCTACCTGCAGTCAGGTGCTGTTGTGAGACAGGGAAGCTACACAGTTGCAGGACAGTCACCCAGGAGGGAGGACAGATAAGAGACTTCTCCCAGAACAATAAAGGAGGCCATAGAAGGAAAAAAAAATCCTCTGGCTAGAAAGGGAGTATAGAGGAGACATAGGAAATCTCGGCCATGGGTAAGGATAAAAGAAATCTTGAGTACAGGCAGTCTCTGCTACAGGCCTTGGTTGGTACCGTTCGAGACATCATGGTGAAATCTAGGCACACCCAAGGTTCTTGTTAATACATCAGTCTCAGAGGAAAGTCTGCTTTGAAGAAAAGCTGTTTGGACATTCTAATGCTGTGGTTCTAAGGTATGTATAGGAATATACATACGTACATACACACATACTTATCTATATACAAATATGCAGATACATATATCCAATAGTCACATATACATTGGAAGCTCAGTTAAGACTTATATGGTGGACTGGAGAGATGGGTCAGCAATTAAGAGCACTGGCTACTTTTCCAGAGATCCCGAGTTCAATTCCCAGCACCACATGATGGTTCACAACCATTTACAGTGGGATCTGATGCCCTCTTCTGGAATAAAAGTGTACATGCAAATAGAGCACTCATACATAAAATAAATAAACAAATAAATCTTAAAAAACAGATTTTGGTGGTAGTCAGTGTCTGGAAGTCCTCAATATGCAAAGAAGCTAAGGCTGGAAGAAAATGAGTAGAGTCAAATATTTCATTTCATGTTTCTAGCCTTTTTGTTGATTCCCCTTCTTTTATTTATAATGTCCTTGGTGATGACTCTTCCATCTGAAACCCTGTTCCCAAGCTTCCTTGCAATGGAGCAATTGATTTCCCATCACAGCTGGTTTAAACATTAGCTACGTTGATGTGCGGAGCCAAACTCTCACACACAGTATCTGGAAAAAATGCTTCTGTTATTTTAAATACGCTTTGCAGTTGTGCTAAAGTGAACCGGGGCACTTTGGCTTTAAGCATAGCAGGAGCTGCTGTGTGTCTCTGGCTGGACTGGAGTTTGAGACTGTAAAAAATGGGAAATAGCAATAACTCATTGGGCAAAGGAAGCTGAGCATGACGACTGTGAGTTGCAGAATATTCATGTCATGCCACTAGTGCGTGCAGGTTTCTATCCCCTCCAATCAGACGAAAGCAAGGAGTAGCCGAACTAAGAAGAGGAAGCCTCTGGGGCTGCAACTCCGCTGTGAGTCCACTTCTGTGAATGCAAAACTCTGCAGAGCAGAACCGCATCCAAGCAGACTCTAAGCTATCTAGAATGTAAACTTCCAGGGACACTGCAAATCCTTATTCTGGTGATGTAGCTGTGGCAATAAAAAGTCTTCAGTGATCTTTTACATATTTGTTCATCCAGTCTGCAAATATTTACCAAGTGCCATGATTTCTGCCATTATACTGGCCTCAGGATTTGCCTTCATGATTTCCCATGTCCTTACCCTCGATTTGTATGTCTGCTATACGTACTCATTCTGAGCATCGTTCCACTTGTCTTATGGGACTTTCTCACCTATATCTAATGCAAATGGAATGTACCATTGATTTGTATAAAATAAGCCCACACATTTAAGAGGAAACAGCCCTGGCCATGTAGCTGAGGGAAGACACTTAAGGAGAGATACCTGCATCCCTCCCTTTGGCTATCAAACTATTGAAACTACGGATCTGAAGAAATTAAATTTTCCCAGTGTCTGGGAAAAGGGAAAGGAAGAGGCTGCGACCCTGGTATCAACAAGAAAGGGGGCTTATCCCCTTGAAATAGAGTTTTAGTTCAGACACTTCAAAACTGACTACAGCTCATGCAGTGATGGACCAGTGTGGCCCACTTTAACCTTGACTTCAAGTCAGTCACCCTGGAGGTGGTCTTGTGGGTGCCTGGATGTCCTTATTTGTACTTGCTCTCCTCAAAGTGGCCACATGACGTAAATAACCTTTCTTTGCTTTTCACAATCGATCCTTTTGCCAGTCCTCGTGTGTGTGTGTGTGTGTGTGTGAGTGTGTGAGTGAGTGTGTGTGTGAGTGTGTGTGTCTGTGTGTGTGTGTCTGTGTACTCAAGTGTGTCACAGGTCAGAGGACAATTTTCAGAAATCAGTTCTCTTCTACCATCTGGGTTCTGGGTACGGAGCACATGTTATCAGGCTTGACAGCAAGCTGAGCCACCGACCAGCTCCAGGTTTTTGTTTTTGTTTTTCTCCTTGAGATACAACCTCACTATTTAGCCTGGGCTGGCCTTGAACTTGCCATTCTCCAGCCTCAGTCTCCCAAATGCTAGGGTAACAGGCAAGCCCCAGCATTAAACAGGAGACAGCCTTTGTGTTCTATATGCTTAGGGAAGTGGTTTCTGAAGTCATAGGATGCCACGGCGGAAGTGAATGTGTGCCCGGTGCAGTCGCTGGTCCGTGTGGACTAGCTTTGTGGGGCGAGTTCAAGCACAGCAGGAAGAGGTGGTGGCCTCCGAATCATATCCCTTGGCCGGAGCCAGGGCTGTGATACAGCATCTATCTTTGCTAACTGACTCATAAGAATGTGGACTAAAAGTACACCTCCAGGAAAATATTCATGAATTAACGAAGTGCTATGTCCTCAAGAAAACTGTTGTCTGGATATATATCCCTCAGGTTAACTGTATAATCAAACAGTTGAGCAAGCCCAGGGCATCTTAAGGAGGAGGGGTCACTTCAAATGAACTATTATCAGGAGCCAATAAAAAGTACCCCGGCAGTGGCATCTTGGTTGAGGGAAATGTTTTGGCTGTTTCAGGGTTAGCTTCACAAAACGTCTGCCACAGGTTTGTTCAGCATTATTCAAGGTCGGGACCTTACTAAAGCATTATATCCATTCTTTGCATTTATGCTATACGGTTTTTAACTCAGAAATATGTTTGCAACTTTGGCCTACAGCATCCTACAGATTTTCAGATTCTAAATCTAGTCCGCAAGGAAGTAAAACCATGAAGGGAGAGATAGGCTGCTTTCACACACAGAGGGGCAGGCGCTGGTCCTAGGAAGGGACTTCGGGAGAAACATAGGTAAGAAGCCAGGGTTCTGGCTGTAGAGAAAGTGAAGCAACCGGTGAGCGTCTGGATAAGGAAAATCAGGAAGAGGGTGGTGAAGCAGTGGCTGCTGGGATCCTGAGAATCCACCATGGAGCCTGTTGTAGCGGCCGCCATTTTGTCCTCTGCCTCCCGTCTCCATAGCTGTCTGTCTGGCACTGATTTTGAACTCTTGGACACCAAATAATCAAGACCAGGTGACTACCATCTGGATCATCTGCATGGTTAATTAGTGTATAGTTCTTCCTGCTTTCCAGGGAGAAGAAACTTTTACCTAAGCAAATAGTTGGATTTATAGAATAGTTAACTGGTTTTATTTAAAAATAATTTCCCTTGAGACCAATAAAAATATATTTTTATAAATGAAACACTGTCTTTGATTGCACCCCTTCCCTACTCTTTTGGAAACTCAAGGCAGTTTGACTGTTAGAATGGAAATATAACTCACTTAAACTTTTATTTTCTTTTTTATTCCATTTGACAAACTTGAGGTTTTCTTCATAAAAATTCTTTTGAGCTCTCCCAGTCATTGATTGTTCTGACAAAGCTAATGCTCTCTTTTGGTTGTTGATTTGCTAATGAGGAGTGCTCTTAACTCATGATATCTTTTTTGCATGGCACGTATATAAGAGTGTGTGTGTGTATGTTCTGGGAAATTGAACCATAGTATTATACATAGTACACAAGCAGTCCATCACAGAGTATTTATTACAGAGATGTCCATAGTAGAGCAAAGGCCTAAATGCCCTCTTATAAGCCAACTCCTTCCTCAGGTTCTTTAATTTGAAGCAATCACCCTGCCCTCATCCTTTATTGCCTGAGTTAAATATGCTTACTTTAGCACAGTGAACAGTTTTATTCACAGTCATACTTAGTATTAAGAGGAGATATTACTATGAAAAAATGGTGGCCTCTCATCCATTCATTCTTTAGAAAATGATTAAAAAAAAATTGAAGACCTGACTCTAAGAAGTTCTCATCATACAACGGGTGAGACACAGCTCTTGTCCTTGTAACAGATGAAAAAACATAAACTAAAAATCGAGGTCAGTTTGAAAAGCACAATAATGGTCATATACATCAGATATAAGAGTGGGCCCCTGAGAGTGTGATCAACTCAGTTTCAGGATTGCCAGGGTCTTCCTAAGAAGTCCTCTGTGTGGTTTCTTGGTCTTTATGATGCCGGGTGATAAATGTGCATGGTGGAGGCTCATTATTCAACCCAGTTTCTCAACACCAAAATTTAACACTGTGTTCTGAAAAGTGGTGCAGCCTCTGATCACCTCTCCAGACATGTGCTAGCTGCAGCTATAGAGGACGAATTACTTGTTGCAAATGTGCATTTTGTACCTTTGCTGAAGGACGGATGTGATCTGCTTGCAGAAACTCTCTCCATTTTGAGCAAACTCCTTCAGGCTCTTGTATACTTTATTGTACTGAAAGAAAATGACAGAAAAATTATGAGCACCTCCATAGATAGATAGTACACCCGTAATTCAGAATACTGCTGTAGTGATGACTGCCACCATAAAGGACTGTGTGGTTAAGGAGGCACACGTTTTTGGATGACTTCTTAACTAAATATTAAGTCTCCTCTGCCTGGCTTTGAAAAAATCCAGAGAAATTTTCCAAAATTAAAGCTGGCCTGTCTGTTTCAGTCTATCTTAGCTACTGTTCTATTACTGTGACGAACAGAACACCATGGCCAAAGCAACTTATAGAGGAAATCACTTGATTGGAAACTTGCTTACAGTTTCATAGGGTGAGTCCATGTTCATGGTCATGATGGTGGAAAGCATGACAGGAGGCAGGCAGGAATGGATCTGGAGCAGTAGCTGGGAGCTTACATCTGGTTCACAAGCAGGAGACAGAGACAGATTCAGAGACAGACAGGGACAGAGACAGTCAGAGACGCACACATAGAGACAGAGACACACACAGAGAGGGAGGGACACACACACACACACACAGAGAGAGAGAGAGAGAGAGAGAGAGAGAGAGAGAGAGAGAGAGAGAGAGAATGAGAACCTGATATGGAATTTTTAAACCTCAAAGCCCACTCCCAGTGACACATCTCTTGCAACTCTTTATCTACTCCACCAGCTGGGAACCAAGCCTCCAAATACATGAGCCCTTGGGGCCATTCTCATTCAAAGTAACACACTGTGCTAGGTCAAATGCAAATAATCCAACAGAATTTGGTTTGGGGATTTGGTTTCCTGGTTTGGTAAGGCTAAAAGCATGCTCTATAGGACACCACATTATCACATTCTTGTCCCACCAACCTACACACATGATAGACTCATTGTACAGGTTGTCTAAAAAAATTTGAAATTGAAATTTAAACTCTTAAAAATCTAAAATCTTTTTTGAATTCTGATCTAATACCATAAAGAGAAATTTTCACACTTGATTTAAATGCTGAGTCTCAGTCAAAACACAGGCATGATAAAAATCTTGTATGAGATCGTCTTCAGGCTATGTGTTTAGGAGTATGTGGAATATAAATGAATTTCATGTTTAAGTTTGGGTTCCATCCCCAAGATATCTTATTATACATTCACAAAACTCCAAAATCAGAAGGAAAAAAAAGCCACCAAAATCTGGAACATTTCTGGTCTTAAGTATTTTGGGTAAGAAACATTTAACCTGTAGTACCAAGCAGATATTTTGAAACTTCTGGAACATACAACGCGTGTGTTTTGAGGTTGCAAAAAGCTTTGCTCTCTAAGTTCAGACTTACTGTATGTGTGTGAGAAATACAGTGGTATTTAAAATTGGATAGTTTACTTAGTATGATGATGATGATGATGATGTTGATTAGTGTGTGTATGTGTGTGTGTGTGTGTGTGTGTTTTGCATATTTGTGTGTCCAGACATACATGTGGTGTTCAGATGACTACTTTTGGGAACTCAGTCTATCAGGTTTACACAAGTATAGCAAGCATTTTGCTTTCTGAACCATTTGGTTGGTCCTACAGTCATTTTTATTCAAAGACATTTTTATTTAGGGTTTCTAATTTGTAGTTTTTCCATGGTTCTAACTCGAATGCAATATTAACATTTTGTAAATTATGAAACATTTTATGCTTCACGAAGATCACAGTCATATAGGAAGTAATGACACATACTGCATACTCACCTAAGTTACAGAGACATTAAACTTCTACTCTGCTCCTTTTGAACAATTGCTTTTTAATTTTCATAATTTCTTTGGCTATTCTTAGACATTTGTTCTTTGGTATGAATATTTACCTAATTATAAGATTTGGGGTTTTCTTTACATTCTTAATCAAAAATGTGTTATATGTGTGTTTATATGAATTATAGGAAATTAACTTCTTAAAATGGTGTTTAGACTTCCCACCCAAGAACACAGTGAAAGTCTTTTCATTTGTTTAAATCTTAGTTCATGTCAATAAAGCTTATTAACTTATCTATAGAACCTGCAGCTTTCTTATTTCATTTATTTAGAAATAACTCCTGGGATTAAGCTGTATATTATCATTGTTTCTCTTGTCTGCTTATAGGAAAGCAGACAAAAAGGCTCAACTAAGAAACCAGGGTCCTTGGGCAAGCTAGATTTGGCTGTCTACTTGCAGAGTGGGGCTTTTTGCTCTCAAGCAAATATAACTCTAGATCTGAGAAGACATAGTTGGGTGAAGGTTTGGAGGGATTTGAACTTTCAGAGTGATAGTGAGGATAACAGCCCTTTCCCACCAGGAGAGCTGGGAATAGAAAGAAAGATTGCCAAGATGAACTCCTAAGAAAAAGAACTAGACATTAACAAATCAAACAATCTAATTAAAAAACAGGGTACAAATCTAAACAGAGACTTCTTAATAAAAGGAAACTCAAATGGCTGGGAAACACTTAGAGAATTGTTCAATATCTTTAGCCATCAGGGAAATGCAAATCAAAATGACTTTGAGATTCCATCTTATACCTCTCAGAATGGTTAAGATCAATAAAACAAGTGACAGCTCATGCTGTTGAGAATGTGGAGCAAGGGGAATACCCCTCCACTGCTAGTGGGAGTACAAACTTGTCCAGTCACTATAGCAACCAATATGGTGGTTTCTTAGAAAACTGGAAATCAGTCTACCTCAAGACCCAGCCCTACCACTCAGGCATACACCCAAAGGATGCTCCATCCTACCACAAGGACACTTACTCAACTATGTTCATAGTGACTTTATTCTTAATAGCCAGAAACTGGAAACAACCCAGGTGCCCCTCAACTGAAGAATGGATAAAGAAACTGTGGTGTATTTACACAATGGAGTATTAGTCAGTTGTTAGGAAAAAATGACATCATGATAGTTTCAGGAAAATGGATGGAATTAGAAAAAAATCATCCTGATAAAGGCAACCCAGGCCCAGAAAGACAAACTAATATGTACTCACTTATAAGTGGATATTAACTGTAATGTAAAGGATAACCATGGTACAATCCACAGACCCAGAGAGGCTTTAAAGAGGGCTATAGGGGTACACATGGATCTTCCTGGGAAGGGGAAATAGATTTTGTGGGTGGACTGGCAGTGGGTGGGGATAGGAACAGGAGGGATCAGGTCAGGGAGGGACTGCCGGAGGGAGTGAGCATGGGCAGAGATGGCTGGAGTAGGTGGACATTTAGGGGGTGATGTGGAGACCTAGTGCAGTGGACACTTCCTGGATCCTGTGAAGGTGACCCTAGAGAGGACTCCTAGTAATGAGGATATAGAGCCTGAACCAGATATCTTCTGTAACCAGGCTAGCTTCCCAGTGGTGGAACTGGGACGTCAACCCAGTCACAAAGTCCTAGACACACAATCTGTCATGCCTGCAAGATATACTGGGACAATGATGGCTTAGAGCTTGTGGAAGTGGCCAACCAATGACTGCCCTAACTTTAGCCAAAGCCACAAGAGGGAGCCCATGCCTGATACCACCTGGATGGATAGGAACTGGAACCTGGATGGCTCAGAAACCTGGGGTAAAACCAACACAACTGACCGAAAAACAAAAGTCAATGCAATGATATTCCACTGTTCTCACAGATAGGCACAGAAAGAATGGTTTCCCCATGACTTAATCTGAATAAGAAAGTCACTGAAAATGTTTCTGCATACCGGGCTATTGGGGTCACTGCAGTTTCCAATTTCTTAGACCTTCAGACCCCTATATGACATCTTTCATATTGTCTTCTTGGGACAAGTTTTGGGAGGCCAGGTTATTTTTAAGGGTTAAGACCTCAATTTTCTTCGGTTACAGTGGTAGAGCTGTGACAAAGCAAATGTCTATCACTTTATTCTCTCAAAAACATTTCATCCCAACTTAAATGTTTTCTCTTAGAATTCTTTATTGTATTTTAAATGTATGAATGTTTTGCCTTCAAGTAGGCACCATGTGCATGCCAGGTGACTAGGGAGGTTAGAATAGAGTGCTGGATCCCCTGGAACTGGAGTTACAACTGGAGTTTTGAGTCACCATGAAGGTGATGGGGCTTGAAACCAGGTTTTCTGGAAGAGCAGCCAGTGCTCTTTACTCCTAAGCCATTTTTCCAGTCCCCAGTTCAACTTTTAAAGAAAGGGATTTCTCAAGTAAAGCACAGTATGGCTTCTGTTGACCCTTGAGCTGCCAGCTATAGGATTTGGAAGATGGTAAATACACCATTTTTTTTCACAGAAAGTATTTGTATTGAACAAAGTGATGAATGGACAAAGTTCTTCCAGACAGAGAAATGGCCAATGGTTCTGCCGCCTCAGCCACTCTGGTCAGATCATAGGTCGGAGATGCCTCAAGTAGACCATTTCCTGAGTTCTATTGTGTTCAGGCAATACATCACATTGTTCTTAACTTAATGATCAGATAAAGAAGGATATCTGTGTATAACAACATGGGGTAAATTCTTTATTTTTGACCTTATGTTCAGTGTGCTGGAAACTCACCAACATCCCTGATCCAGACTGAGATAAAGGTGACATCCACAAATAAAAGAAATACTAAGACTATTTCTATTTACTCAGCTTAATTCCATATTTAGAGCCAATGGTCCTGGACCCTGTACCATTTACTAAAACTTGAACACAAAACAGATTTTAAAAAAAAAGTAGCTTACCTAAATGTTAAAGAAGTTCCTGTGACTATCTAGTTGAGTGTGTGTGTGTGTGTGTGTGAGAGAGAGAGAGAGAGAGACAGAGAGACAGAGAGACAGAGAGACAGAGAGAGTGACAGAGGGAGATCAGAAAACTTCTGACTGTATCTGCTCTGAGGCAGTGAAATCTCCTTATCTTGGCTTTGGCTCCTCTGCTCCTGCCTCACTTCCTTCCCACCCTCTCCTGCTCATCAGAGGGGACTTTGAAGAGGTCCTATGGGACGCAGTATGGGAAGCACAGAAGCTTAATCTCTTACTTAGAATTAAGAGCCAAAGAAGAGTTAAACATGACCTCATTAGACTAAGGACAGATTTGTGATTGGAAATGTCAGGTAATTAAATCAACTAGACAATCCATTAGAACCAAATGTCTGCATATAGCTAGCTAATCAATATAATCAAACTAACCTCGCCCAGAGCTGATATCCTGGCACAAGAGGCACAGATGGCTTCTTAATATCATCAAGAAGCAAAAAAGAATTCATTCTGGTGAAATTTATGTGGAAAGAAAATTTGAGATGTCTTTTCCTACTCATTGAGCTCTCATATACCCCAGCCCTACAACACATGCATCCCCGGAAAGAGCTCAGTGCTGATTTTATATCTCCGCATGAATTCATTTGGAAAAGCTCTTTCTCCCCTGGACCATTAATTAATAAGATAACATATTACGCTTTTTTTAAAAATTCCTTTTATAAAGAATTAGTCTGTTGGGGTTTTTAGAACATTTTTGAGATGTTAAAAAAATTCTTTCACATTTACAACTGTTCTACCCAGGAAAAATGTTTCTGATGCACACATGTAAGCTGTTTAAATGTCGCTGTTACACAACAAGCAAGTAAATAGGCCACCAAATAACAAAGCGAAACACAGTCATCTAGGCAGGCCACCAGGGTACAGAATGACTGGACAGTTGAACTGTAAACATTGTAAAACATTGATGTTGAACTTGGCCAGTTGCTCTTTCTGACTTTACACAGTTTGAATGCTTAAAAAGATTGAATCTATTTGCCCTAGGAAAGGAATGTTACTACCCTGGGTGCTCATGCAGACTTTAAAAAAACAAAAACAAAAAACAAAAAACAAAACCCCACGTAATAGTGGCCTTCGGAATTAAAGGAGCCATGGTACCTGAATTGGGATTTAGCTGAATATGATTCTTGGTGCTCTTTCCATGCCAGGCCTGTGCAACTGATTTCATGTCAATTCTCATTCACTGGTGGCGATTATTTCAAAACACTGTCCCTCAAAGTAAGGGGCTACTTGTCTTTATTAGAGATGTTTGGTATTTGAAGCTTTGTGGTAGGACTTCTTACATTGTAAGGAACAGAATGCTAAGGAAACTACCGTCTACCAGCTACCATCTCCACATCTTAGTTTACAGCTGATAAAACAGAGGCCTAGGAAGCAGAGGATGCATGCTGTCTTCTGATACACACCGAAGGCACTGTGGACTACACACGCGTCCGTGCCACACTCCACATGTCCTTTCCTGTCTCTCAGGGGAGCAGAGGCTCCCAGGAGTCAGAGCCCACAGCAACGGTGCCTTTGGAGTCCGTGCCAGTCACAGCTGGTGACCCAGGCTGGACCAGCAAGCTAAGACGTTCAGGCTGGCATTTGATTCAGATTACCAAGCTGTGGAGCAGCCTGGCCTTATTTGGAGCTGATTTCACAAGCAAATGGGCTGACAGTGTAGGAACTGGAGGCATACTCTAACAATCTCCTCTCTGGCTTCCTTTGAGTACCTAAAATGCAAACGTCAGGCGATAGCTTGTAACTTTCCCTCAGCTGGGTTCCTATGGTCTTCTTTCATAGGAACAAGACTTTTCCTTTTTTCTTTTTTTTTTTCACATGATTGAGTCATTTCCTTTGGGAAGAATTTGATGTTATCAACTTCCTTGCACATGCAGTTGAGGAAGATTTCTCGTGGCACAGTTTTAGGTGTCGGTGAGAAGCTCAGAGTCATCAAGGCTTGGAGCCAATTCTTTTCCTCTCCAAAATCAGAACTTAAAGAAAAGAACTTGAGATAAGCTCTAACATCCTCACGATTTTTCAAGAGCCTTACATAGTGCCTGCCACACTTTAGCTCACTTTAGTGACGATCATTTGAAAGCGACTTGATTTGACTCCTGGAGGTCGAAGGGCCTAGAGCAGCAGTTCATTCTCTCATAGAAGCACGATCCAAATGGTAGTTTTAAGGTTTTCTTTATACCAGGCCTGACTTCATAGTTCGGTAAGACATATTTCACTTAGAATATTATTTTTAAATGTGTAAAACAAAATACCACAGCATTATAAAGAAATGGAACTACATTGATACATATGTATATTTATAAAATCTATTTTAAGCTTATGATATTAGGCTGGATGTTTATATTAATATGATAAATAACAAGAATTACCAAATGTCTAAGTAAGTCTGAGAATAAGGAATACGCAGTGACATCTACAATAACACCATTATATAAAAATATCTGTGTTTTTTATTGTTTACACAGTCCTATACACTGTTAGGAGTATTGGATACTCATAGTTGAAGAAAATTCTACATTTCAGTTAGAAACGCCTATAAATGTAGAATTTATATGCATATAAATTCTCCCTCATTTATTTATTTGTTCAACTTTGTTCTTGACCCACTGAGACTGATAGACAAATCTGTTCGTGTGGACCAAGCTAAGATGTACAGTTTAATAAAGATGCTCAAGTGTGCTCTGTGCAAAACTAGGGCCTTGTGGGATAGGACATTTGGCAGGTAGTGGGAGTTTTGGGCTCTCTATAAAACATGCTAAGTGTTTTCCAAAGCATTCATCTCAAATCCATGCCCTTGTTTTAGCATATTCCCAAACCGTGAAAGCATTGTTTCCCCAAGTACAAGGAAGTCAACGTGAACATTTGATAAAGATGGAACAATTGCAAATAAATAAATAAACACTCTGTGGCTTTAGAGAGTTTAGAAGTTCATGCTGAAGGGATATCCGCCTCCTTTTGACTCCCGGATACCTTTGGTGGCAATGGGCCCATAGATATGGCCTTCAGTCATGGACAAGGACAAACATCCTTGGGGATGCTCAAAATAGCACAAGGCATCACCTAGCACCCCAGGAAGTAGAGCTTTGAACTGCTACCGAGGTGAGGCAAAGGCTGCCTTGGGAGCCGCTTAAAAGAACACATTTGTCCCTACTCCACACCTGAGGGGAGGGAGACTTTCAGCCCCCTTTCTTTTCACTATTAGAAACTCACTTGGTGCTGTCTCCTGTCTCCCTCCCTTTAGTCTAATTATGCTGTCTTGGCATTGACTTTCTTTTTAAATAATGGATAGTGCCAAGTGCTTTCCTCAACTTAGCCCATCCCTGTCCCACCTCACCACCCATCCCAGGGAAAAATATCAGATATCCATGCTGAGACAGGAGAAGATTTAAAAATGTAATAGGGAAGCAAACTCAAAGAGAGAAATTGATTTCTCTAAATGGCCCATAACTACCTCATGCAGAGGAGACTGAGGAAGGGGTATCAACGGAGGCTCACTCAGTATCATCATGCACACACAGCATTGGAATTCTTCACTAAGCACATCTTCGTTTTGTGCTTAATGGGGCTGGTGCTGCATCTACTAGACATTTAGCTGCTCACCTCACTTCAGTCATGTGATTCTTGAACTCGTTTTGTACAATACCAGCTACAGTTCCATCTCTGCTAAGCCCATGCTTTCCTCACCCTTTGGATAAACAACAGGCAAGTGGCAGCCCTCTGCTGGTCTTACAGCTTCTTATGACCTCCCTTGTCTGTTCTCATGTTTGTTTTTAGTAAAATATATGAGACTACATTGATTACAGTGACTACAATTCCTGACCTCTGAGTTCACCGAGTGTAGCTTTAACACACAGCTTACTGGGGTAGGACATTTAAATCCTTGATTACTTTATTACTATTGTATCTTGTCTCCTAGGTCAAATCTCTGCCACTGCTGCTGATGATCTTGCTGTGTCTTTGGACTTCTGATCAGTTTTGTATTTGGGGGAAAGCGCTCAGGACTGGAGCAAGCACATCAGTGAATCGTCCACCAGGCTGATAAGAATGACAGTCTGTTCTGCGTCCTGTATGGTTTGGAATCACAACTCTTGAATTTTTTATTACAAAGTAGGGGTAGGGTGAGGGATGGGGAGGCTAGACCTTCCTCCCTGGCTTCATCGCTGAGCCACAAATGCACTGCAGACAGTCTGTATGCATTCAAAGCTACTCCACACACGATGTTGGCACCGTTGGTGTGCACCTTAATGCTGCATCTCAAACAGCCCCGTCTGGATCTGACTAGGAGGAGACATACTCATCCAAATCTTTCCCTATCAGCTTGAGAGTGAAAGACAGCTGTGAGTGTCACTTTTTCGAGAGGGCTCTTTTTAAAACTTAATCAAAGAAAAACTACAGACTTTTGTACCGTAGCCAACATCTAAGCATTCCTAGTTTCTGATTGTCTCAAATTTCGGTAGGTAAAACTCCACACATACACAAACACACCAACCACACTGGTCTACTCACCGAGCAATCCGTCAGTGGGTCCCTCATGGTGAAATGCTCTTTGCTTTGTCTGTTAGCTATGCTCCAGCATTCTGGACACTGCAATCAATCAGGTTGGGTGTGTTCTGGACTTCCGGGACTCAAAGGGCTCAGAGTACGTCAGTCCTTGTCAAACACACCAAGGAGGAAGTTCCAGCCCTGGACTTTCATCCAGTTTGTTTCCTGAAAAAGCAAAGAACAGCTCTGGGTCAAAAGAGCCCCTGGGAGATGGTGAGAGTCAGTTTAGCAAACACTCACAGGGCAGGACACTGAGGTGCAGCCTTGAGAAGAGGCCCAGAAGCATTGTAGATTTCTCCATGATCTGTATGTCCAGATTGATGATGGGAGCTCACTTTTTTTTCCAGCTTGCTGGTCCAGTCATGGCTTATATTTCTTGTGTTTAATGCTGCTCTGACCTGGGAGAACTATGCATGCTAGATAGGTGAAAAGTCACAGCTGTCCTTCAGTCTTATGATGGGAAAAAGGTTTGAGTGAGTATATAGCGTCCTACTAGGATCCAGATGGGGCTGCATGAAGGTTTACGTTAACTATCAACTTGACAGGATCTAGGCTCATCTAAGAGGCTAACCTCTGAGCATGTCTGTGAGGGAGTGTCTAGACTGAGTTCACTGAGGTGGGAAGACTTGGCCTAAATATGGGCTGCATCCTCAGATGAGCTGGGGTCCTCGCCTTGACTAAAAATGAGAGATCGGCTGTCCTCATGCTCCTATTTGTTTTCTAATGAGAGACAGAAAGGGTTAGATCCAGATAGGAGGAAAGGTGGTGTTGGGATTGGGAGGAGGAGAATTAGAAAAACCATAATCAGGACATATTATATAAGAAAAACAAATCTATTTTCAATAAAAAGGGGGAAGGCTCTCAGTGAACATGGATTCTCGAAATTGTCTTGCTCTTGAAGTTTGCTCTGGAAGCTGCCACACCAGAGTGTATTGTGATGATAGCTTTGGTATGGCGGGGGATAGCCATATCTGCTTCCTATCTGAGACTTTCCTAGGAACCGGTTAGACTTCCCTTGGGCCTCGGGACATCTGCTAAAGACTAGTATCTCTGCCATGCTCTAGTGTCCCTCTCACAGGCTCCAGTCAGACAGACAGTAAGGGCTTGGCTATTTGTTAGCTCTTCAAAGGGGTGTGTGAATTTACAAAGCACTCAGAGAGGAGAGTACTGTATCTTCATCTCTGTCACAGGGTTGCCACTGAGCTGCCAAGACCAACCCAGAAAGCCAGGAGCTTCAAATGACACATAATTCATTTATTAACAAATCCTCACATCAATTGGCGGTTCCCAGTTTCTCCCTGGCTCGCTCACGAGGAGCAGACCCTCGGTGCATCTCTGCAGGGCAGTGCCTGATGCAGCAGCATCTTTCCTGGGGTGCTGGGCTGGCTGTTAGCTGAGGCTGTATCTTATTAACCAGTAGCTCAAGCCTGTAGTTCCAGGGACCTCTTATGTGAGGACCTACAACTGACCCTCCAGTCACGTTTGCCATGCCCACCTGAGGAAAGCTATCAAAGGAGCCCATCCAGATTCAAGGGTGGTGAACTGAAAGTCCCTTGGGAAAAGGACGTAGATACAGAGGGGGCTGGGAACAGGAACCACCTTGTCATTCAGTCTGTCACAATGACTGGTCAATATTTATTCCTCAGTGACTTGAGAGATGAAGGGGGAAAACACAGGAGGGAATGGCTGTTCTCCATCTTCCTTCCCTTCCTGCACTCAGTGGGGTAGGGTTCCTTTGTCAGCACAGGTCGTGAGTAGATAAACAAGAGGAACACATTCAGGACAGGGGCTTAGGGAGAGGACTCTCCTCTCTGACCTCACAAGCCGCACTACACACAGGCTACAGTAGAGAGTGGGGGGTGGGGCCAGTGACACAGCAGAGTTCTCTCGGGTTTCCTGTCAGCTAGGCCTGAGACTAGCTGGTCAACCTTGACTAGGAGGCAACCTGACAAAGAGTGTTCTGGGGTACACATGGAAGCCCCAGACTCTGACTCTTAGGAAATGACTTGGCGATATTGAGAGTTGGAGGCCAAGCCCCTGAGTCAGAAGATGGGCAGAGAGCTGTATGGCTTTGGAACAAATGTGAGTACGACTCATTTGTAGCCACAGGTAATGAGAGCTATACAGACAGTGAAGCATCTCCACAGAGAAGGCTTAACCCACTCTTTCTGGGGAAATTAAGGCCTCAGTATCCCTTTGACCTCTCTGCTCACATTTGTCCCTGGCTGGATGCTTTTGACCTGGATTCATTTCCTGGCTTCTTCCTAGTCCAGGTGTTCAGTTTGAGTTAAGCTTAGCTTTCCCTCCTCCTTTTCCAGGCTGTGCTCAGCATCCTTGTCTACAGAAACCAAACAAAAACCAAAAACAAAAGAGCCACATAGTGGAAGCTATTGTAAAGGACTCCATCCACAACACTATATACCACATCTAAAGGGAGTTGACAACATTTTGTACGTTTATTAAATACTCATGAACCAAATGTTGGATATTGGTAAGTTGAGAAAAAAAAAACAGAAGCCTGAATAAAAAGAAGGGAATAGGCCATTCAAAACTGCCCTGAAGTTTCCTTCATAGGCAAAGCATGTAATAAGTTATGAGTGACTCAAACATTATCAATAGAGACCTAGCTGAACACATTGTAGTAAGAGGAATTTGTGTTTAGAGGGCTTACCCGGTGTCCCAGGACCCACACGAAGAGCTAGACGCGTCTGTGGGTGTGACTGTAACCCCAGCGCAGTGGGGTCAGAGGTAGGAGAGCTGGTGGAGCTTGCCTGTCGTTAGCACGGTGCCAGGTTCAGTGTGAGATACCTCGAGAAAGCACGGTGCAGAGTGACAGAGCAGGCCACCTGACATTTTCCCCTGGCCTTCTGCAACATTCACAGGCAAGTACCTCCCAACCTGTGCATATATCACACACACATGTACCGCACCATGCACACACATTTACATGCAAGCATATACAAAGAAAGGAATATTAGCTTTTAAGATAATTGTAGCAGTTACTGGAGATAGATATGTGTTATTTTGGTCCTTATAGTATACATGGAGGAACTGAGGCCTGGGGCAGCCAGATGACTTACTCAAGGTCACACAGGAAGTGAGATGACTTTCTCTGACTCCAGTCCTTCCAAGTTTTGACCACCATGTTACACTGCCACTTACTCTCACAATAGATGCTATAGCATTCAAAGGACGAGGATGTAGTAAGACCTACTTAATGCGCCGATTTGAACACGAAAGCAAATGGTATGGTTCCATGATTCTAGGGAAAAATGATCTAGGTACATATCCCTAGAGAGATTACAGTACATCTCTGAAGGTTTTGGATTATAAGACTTTTAACTCTATAAATCATACATTTCTGTATAATTGAAATATTTGAAATAACTATGGTTGCTTTAGAGACAAACAGGTGAAACCTTTTAAAAAAAAGAATGACAATTACATTCACTTTTAAAAAGATTTATTTATTTATCTGTGTGTATGTGTGTCTGTCTGAGTTTGTGTGGATGTACCCGGTGTGAAGGGAGGTCAGAAGAGGATGACTTATCTACTGGAAGTAGAGTTATAGATAGTTGTAAGCTGCCTAGTGTGGGCACCGAGATCCGAGCCCGGGTCCTCTGCAAGAGCAGCCAATGCTCTTAGCCATGGAGCCAGCTCCCCAACCCCTCATTCCAGCTTTTAACGAGGGAAAGTTGGTAGGAAGAAATTGTAACCCCGTGCGTCATCACTTCATACTTGTAGGATTTTGTAGCTGCTGATCCTTCTGCATGGAGACTTGTCTTACTTATGCTGGCCTGGTTGACTTTTACTTATCTTCACAGAGCCCAGTGTGTGTGACTTTCCCCACACAGCACTTTGTAGTGGTGGTATGCATGTACCTCTTTTGATCTATTTATCCCATTGGATTGGATTACCAGTTTAATACTCTCCCTGCTACGCTGCAAATGAGATCTTTATATCCAAGTACCCGGAGCAAAGTAAATGCTTAAAAATAATTGCTCATATTTGATTGAATTAAATGGTGAGAAAGTGACCCCCATAGCTGGTTCCTCTTTACTGACAAGGCAGGGGATGTCACATGTGAGTAGGGTTGTATCTATAGTTATCCGGAAACTGAGGCGTTCAAAACCCTGAAAGGAAAGATAAGTGTGACCTTCTAGTCAGGAAGTCTAAAATGAGAAATGGCTAAATGCACTTGGAAGGTTCTGACATAGATTAAAAATGGCCTTGACAAGCAGGAAATAGAGGCACTCCACTGGAGTCCCCAGGGGTCACTAGAGAACTTTCTTGGAAATTTTTCTTCTTTAGCTTACAAAGCTATAAACAAAGGAGGTCTCAGGACCGAGCATAAAATCAAAGAGAGGCCTAACATTAGGAACACATCGGAGAGACTGGGGGTCTAAGATGAGTTTCATCCTGGAAACCTTGCCAAGAACAGAATGTTTCCTGCATTCGTAGTAGGACAAATTTACAGGGACAACAGCAAGCCTTCATCCAGGCTGCTGGCCTGTGGTCATTGATGACTAAGTGAACGGGAGCAGCTGGCCAGGCTGCCAGGGCTAAGTGGTTGGACTGGACAGGCCAATTGGCTTCCTGTGGACCACATTACCCCAAAGCACTTTGCCGGAGAACTTGCGGAAACATGGGTGGCGTGCTTTGACAACTTCCCAAGACCACATAACGCTTCTACATTCTGGGCGATACCAGTCCTTGGCCTGCTTGAGCTACCACAGAGGCAGGGCCTTCTCTGCAGCCATTGGGCACATGCGAGAATCATGAGAATCGTGAACTGTGTGTGCTGAACATGACGTCACTTCTCTCAGGCATCCTTACAGAGCAGGGTAGAAGCAACGCTATTCTGATTAAATTACTTTTTATTTTTAGCCTCCACATGAGGAAGTGATTAGTTTACTTATTTTCCACAGCTCTCCAAAACTGAAAGAAGCATTTCTGAAGACTTGACGGAAGGCACATATCATAAAGCAAATAAATACAAACGAAAAAAACAAAACAAAACCAACATTTGCTCAACACAAGCTTGTGAGAGAAAAAACAATAATGATAACAACAAAAAACAAAGCGGAAAACCCTTCCAT